TCGGTTATTTTATCTGTAGGCACTGTCTTATCATGCTAGGTACCCCCAGATGCCCAATATGCTGTATTATGCAGATCCAGGCAGCAGGAGTTGTTAGAGAGCAAGACAACCCTCAAACTGCCCATGGTTTGTCTTATTTAAAAGTTGTTTAACCCAGAAATCCTACTTGCTTGAGTTTGTATAACTCAGGAAGACATGACAAGTTGGGCACTCATAAGCATCACGCAAAAATAGCACCCAGCATGGCTCAGCATTCCCTCATGGGTTAAATCATCATGGATTGTCACATTGTGCAGTGCCTGCCTCTCTGGCTGTGAAGTTTTGCCTACCTTACTGAGCAAGACAGGTGGCCCTCCAAAGGTGGTTGGATCCAGCTCCCATCAGCTGCACCTGGGCCACACTGGCTGATGCTGATGGGAGTTGGAGTCCAACAATAGCTGGAGGGCCACAGGTTCTCCACCCTGTAGTACAGCCGCTCTACACACATGAGTCCTTTCCCCCACCCCCAAGGCAATAATCTCACTCAGTCTCTGGACTGTTTCTATCCTTCCCTTTCTGTTGATGTTATGATTAGGGTCTGGGACATGGAAGACCAATTGTAGCCCTCTGGATGTTTCGGTTCACATTCCTGTTCTTTCCATGACTGGCTTTGCTCCCACAGATTGATGGAAGCTATAGGTCAAAACGTCTGGAGTTCCAGAAGTTGCCCACTCCTGGTCTAGGATGAGGGAGAACAGGGTACAAATCCAAACTCAAATCTAAAATTGGTCACGTGCAGAGATAGACCAAGAATTTTGCTTCCATGTATGGGGCTGACAGGACTGGCCATTTAGTCTTTCCTCAACACTATCCAGCAGTCAGCATCCTCCACCACACCAGAATTCAGGTGATGGGGCCCATAGCTCTCTCCTTCAACCCTTTGCTGCCATCTCCCAGCATCTGCTCCCTGAGGCAACTGCTTCACTCTGTCTAATAGCAGAGCCAGCCCTGGTTGGGTGACGTGGGACAAATCCCCGCCTCTGAGCCTTGCTTATTTCACAGAGATGTTCTGAAGACAAGCTGGGAAATAAGGCCATTTACGATGCTTGAAGCAACTTCCCCAACTTGGGGTTGTCCAGATGTGGAGAATCCCTTAAAGGGAGGGGTGGGATTAAAAAAAGCTGATGCTGGTTCATGCAAGAAGTATTTTCAGTATGGGAACAAGTTCCAGGTAGGAAAGGGCATGAATCATAGGGTTTTGTTTGCTGAATATAAAAGCTCTGGGAAGGCATATATACCGGGCTATGTATACCAGCCTTCCCAATCTGAATCCTTCCTGATGTTTTGGACTTCAACTCCCAGCATTCCTGACTACTGTCCATGCTGGCTAGAGATAATGGGAGCTGAAGTCTAAAGAGAGAGAGAGAGACAGCTGTAGGGGAGGTGAAGATTTCCACATGGCATGGTTAATTTGGGTAATTAATCCGTAAGAAAATACTTCTTTGTCTTTCTGGAACTGTGGTGTCCAGAAAATAAAATTGTATTGCCTATTACTCTCACCAGACCTGACTTGTTGCAGTTTAATCCCACCTAAAATGGCATGAGCTATGACATAAATTTATTATTCATTAGTACCTCAGTCTAAATCTTTTTCAGAGGTGAAACTGCCAAGCCAATTATTGGCTATTGCACATTCAAGTATCTTGTTCTTTTAAAGTGTAACACAAATTGTCCTTGATAAATTAAATTATGTTGCTATTGGTTCAGTGCTTCAGTTTATTGATATCATTTTGAGTTATGCTTGAAATAACATTTCCTTAATGAAAAATGACCAACTTCAACCACAAATTGAAACTATGCTGCAAGACAGTATAGCTAGTGAGACCAGCCGTCAAGTTTTGAGAGCTCTACCATTTACAGTTTAGGCAACAGGTTGTCCAGAGATGCATTTTAATGCAGAATTCTCATGAACAGACATAAAATAATGGCCTGGTCTGCATTCTTCTGTGCAGGCAAGCATTATTAAACTCATAACAGAAACAGCAAATGCTACAATACAAATGATGTTATCAGAAAGTAGAAGCAGGAAAGATTATATTGTTCAACACTGCAGTAAACCCCCTTCCATCACAAAGCAATCTCACCTATTCTGATTAGTGATACTGATGTTGTTACTATATGTATCATTATTATTTTATCAGCAGCAGCAATATTTGGAAAAAAATCTGTAAAAGGTATGGAAATACAGGTCTCTAGCAGGATGACTTTCCATTGATCAATCCCTAATGGCCTGGTCCAGCCAAGGCATCTCATTTTAGATTTGAGGACACTTAGGAAGATACAAACCATCAGTATCAAAGATAGTAAACACTTGATTGAATACAGTGATGAAATAAGGAGACAGAATATAAACAAGCAAAAGAGAGCTTGCATTCCCCTTGGCTGGGGCCATATTGTTTCGTTGAATAGGCCAGGGGATGCTCCAAGAGCCTCCCAAGTTGCCTGAGTGATCCATCAATTCTTTTCCCTAGGCTAAGAACGAAAGACCGCACCTCAAGCAATTTCAAGGTCCATCAGTATGCACAGGGTCCAACCCCAATGCCTACGAGACGGTGGGGGTTGAAACTGCATCAGTCAAGGAGGTTGTTTTAGTCCTCATGGCCAAAAGCAGCCCTCACCTGCAGAAATATAACAGAAGGCAGCGCCAAAGCCGTTATCTCTGCTGCTCTTCCAAACGTGCTGAAGACCATGCAGTTTTACCATGCTCCAGACAACTAACCTGGCTTTTGGATGCTGGGAAAGTTCAGGACTCTACCTGTTCTGAATAGCCTCACCATTCTTCCATTCCCTATCCCCAAGCAGCGTGTCGTGAAGCCAGCCAGCTGGCTAATGATTAGGAATGCTGGGGAGTGTAGTCCAACACCTCTGGAGGCACCAAGTCAGGAAGGCAGATGTCATTGAGCCTTTGCCCATAAAGCTTATGACCTGGGGAAAGGAGACCTTTGGCAGCTGCACAGCAATCAGAGGGCAGCATGGAAAGCTTTCAGCAGCGCTGGTGACTTCCATCCACAGCCTACTTCCAGCTGCACACCTGCTCGATTACCTTTGTTCCCCTTCTCCAATTTACCTGAAATATTAGTGTGGTGGTGGAACCAGCATCCAGGTTCATACAGCAGGAGACACCACAGTGATTTTTACCCTAGTGGGCCTATTGTGTTATGGATATCTAGTTTCAGAATTTCAGCACAGTATGTTTTGTTTCTGGAAACCACAGAAAGAAACAATGGTCTCTTGCATGTTTTCCATGCTTCACTCTGTCTTCTTGTGACATCCAGATCCAGGAGCTCCATTTGTCCCATTCATGGTGGTGAGTCCTGCAGAAAGAGTAGCAACAGAAGGGGCCACTCTAGGCATCCAGTCTCTATTACCCACAGCCGTCTTTCTGCAGAAAGTAAACCCATTGAGAGAAAAGGGGTAATTGCAGCTAAAGTGTTTATTTTAACCTTAGAAAAAGTTGTGGGCTGGATTGGCTAGGAAGTATTAAAAAGGAGGACGTACAAGCAGGAGGAGGAAGAGAGAGAACCTATCTTGAAGTCTAAGCAAAGGTATCTGAGGTCCACGAGGAACAATGCAATGCAGAAGGAGATTTTGCTTGGAGGGGTTGTTGGGATGTGTGGTGAGAGTGGGAGAACAGAGTGTGTAGCATAGAAACTATGTGCACATCTAGCTGGTAAGTCAAGGCAAAAAAGTGCCAGCTATGGCAAACCTGCAACGTTGCATTGCATGCCGTGAGGAATCTCACCAATGCACAGTGGGACGATCACTTCCTAAGATTTTTAAACTATACTTCCTGTACTTGTATTTATGCAACCTAAGATTGTATTTGCCTTTTTTGCAGCTACATCATACTGCGGACTCATATCAGCTTGTGATCAGCCACAACTCCAAGATCCTTTTCGCACAAATAATTGCCAAGTGAGGTATCCTGTGCATATTTTTGTCTTGGTCATAAATTAAGAAATTTGCACTTTGTTACATTTTATCTTTTGTCCAGTCTTCACATTTATCAGCATTGTCATGATTTTTGTTTCTCTTTTCTAAGGTATTAGCTATCCCACACTTTTTTGTGTCATGTGCAAGCCTGATAAGCATTCCATCCTCTCTTCAATTCCGCTTCCTGTTTTTCTTCCTATGATGGATTCCTGCTTATCACTGTTCTGAGTTCATTAAAATCAACTTTCCTGGAGCACAGGGAAGTTTAGGAAGATTTTTTCATGGTCCTTCACTGTCAGCTGATTGGCATGCTTCCTTGGTTGTTTCAAAAGTGATATTGAAAACTGGATCATTTTGCATTAAGCAAATTCATCTGAATGTTCAATTATACTGAATGCAAGTGCCTAGCCTATTACAGAACCTGAAGATGTTTCAAAGTACTGACCTTATCAGCCTAAAATTTCAGGTATATCCCCAATTGCATGTACTATTAGGAATAAAAGAAGCATTTTCCGGGCACTCTCTCGAATATTAGCATCTGCATATTTCAAAAGAAAAACAAAGGCTTCCCTGCTGTTTTCCTAAAACTTATGTAATAATTGTACGTGTGTAAAAAAGCAAAAATGAAGCAAAGAAAATATAAGGAGGCGTGGTCCCCCCAGCTCAATCTCCAGAGATTTGTGAGTTTTAAATGGAGAAGACTCATAACACAATAATACATACTTGCCTGGGAGTAAGTTCCACTGAACTCGATGGGAATTAATGCGGAATAGATATGCATAGGATTGCACAGGACTCCCTTGTCTTGAGCATAAAAAGGTTATCGTTCTCCACATGGAAACCCGAATTATCCTTAGGAACTATGACTGCAAATTTGTTAGAATATTTATATTAATAAGGCAGGATGCACACAAATTGCACAACACGCATCCAAAAAATTATCTTTACTGAGAACGCATTAAAAAAGAGCTGCCAATGTAAGGGCGGAAGTGAGGTTCGTAGGGAAGGGGCCGAGACGCCTTGTACGGGCGGAAGTGAGTAGTAGCGTGGGCGGAAGTGTTCTGCGAGAGTGGAGTTGGTCTCTCTCCTCGGTTGCTAGGAGGGGGCCTGGCCCAGGTTCCCCGGTCCAGGTGAGCAACGGGGAGGGGCTTTTACGTTCGGCTTCTCCGCGTGGCGTCGTCGCCCTTCAGCAGCTCACGAGAACCAGAGCGGTGGCTCCGGGCTCCCGGTGGGATGGGCTTGCCGGTCTGTTTTTATCGGAGGGGCTGTCAGGGCCACGGCCACGGCGGGGCAAGGAAAGTTACTTGCGGGGAGTCACCTGAGGGTAAAACCCGAGGTGTGGGGCTGCCATGGGCGAAGGTTTCGATGCGGCGTACGTGTTTATGTGTACTAATTAATTGCCTGTTTTAACTGTTTTAATCCTAATTGTTCTTTTGCTACATTTATATCCCTTCTTTCCTCCAAGGAGTCCAAGGGGACTTGCATAAACCTCTTCCATATTATCCTCACAACAACCTATTGAGGTAGGCTAGGCCGAGAGTCATTGATTGGCACTAAACTGGTGAAATGTATGGCCAAGTAGGGACTAGAAAAGGCATTCTAAATTTACCTTAAATTGGTAAAATGAAAGTGGAGTTTTGTAACCTTACAAATCTGCTGGAGGGAAAAAGAGGAAATGCATGATCCCCAGTCTCATTCATGGAAACAATATGCTAGTGTTCTAGCCTGATGCAGGCACAGAAGCTGCCTTATGGGAAGCAAGATATTTAGTCTACTAAACCTGTGTACTCAGGTGGCAGTTCTCTGAACAGTTGCTGAATAGACTGTGGGAAATGTGATTTTCATGGGGAGAAAATGGGTAATCATACAATGAACCTTTGCAATCATGCTCACACAAGCCTACTGTTTAGTTCCTTGCCAATTTGTATGGAGCTGAATTTGCATGGGGTGGGGAGGGCTTCTTTTCACCTGCAGTCCTGCATAGGCATCTGTACTGACTTAATTGAAAGCTTTCAAGGGGCACATGGAGCCTATGTGCTGCTTACACGTTCTCAGAAATCTCAGACAGTGGTCTTTCATTGCTTTGCTTCCTGAGAGGCAGGAACTGTGTCTTGCACCTTTCTCTTCTTAAAACATGTTTTTCCTCACTGAGCAATGGTCCTGGAACAATCCATTTGTGCAAAAGCTGAGCTGTTGACCTTTCCAAGTTATTTCAGGCTGCAGGATGTCTCAGTCTAAGAAGGCATTGGGACTGCTATAAATTAATTTCACTCTTATTTTTATAAAGTCTCTTAACAATAAAGGGGATTTTCGTTTATTAGGGAAAGTTCTCTGGAGACTGGAGTGGGCCTTCTTGATGTGCACAGTTTTTAAAGGTGGTATGAATGCCTTCTCCTGCCTGCTTGCCTATCTGATTTCTGACTGATTTTTTGCTACACTGGCTTCTGCTGTATCTGTAGCTAGTTGAGTATCCCTGTTTTGATGGGTATTTTTGTCCCGCCCTCAAATCCACATAAGCACAGTGTCAGTATTCATCCCCTTGCTTCCTTTAACCTGCCTTTCCTTGTGTTTAAGGTAAGAATGAGTGTTGCCAAACAAGGTTTCATCTCAGGAAAAGTTGACTTATTTTAAAAATGGTTTCTTACCAAGGATTCTGGTTTGGACCTCTTTCTTAAAACAAAGAAAAAACTGTAGTTGTCCCGAGAGGAAGGCTTATGTAGCCTTGAGAGTGGAGTGTAACAGCACATTTGAGAACTACTTCTGGCCATCTGGCAGTGCATCTGAAAGGATAAACATCTCAGTCCCAGAAAGAGAATTTAATGTAATGTGAAAGATTAAGGTGTTAGTACTTGGAGATGGTCAGAGAACCATATATTCTGTGTTTCTCAGGCTTGCAGCCCCGATTATGATTGACTGGAACTCCCATAAACCTCAGTCTGAAGTCAGGATGATGGGAGATGTATTCTAAGAGCCTCAGTTGATTTGGGTTTGGGAAATACTATTAACTTTTGGACTTGATCTACATGAATATTTTTTACAAGATAAAGATAGCCTCTGTAACACTATATCTTATGGGCATTTAACATAGCTGAAAAATTGCAGAGCTATTGAATAGTCTTGCTTGCATAAATACAGGTTTATGAAGATATTGGTATTTTTGGTAGATTTATTACATCTCAAGATCATCCAATAATCAAAGCTTTTTCAAGGATCCCCCAAACCCCCTAAAATACAAAATATGATATAAAACCTCTATAAGTTTAATACAAAATAAAACCAGTTTTACACCCTCCACTGAACATGATTATATGTCCCAAGGCCATTAAAAACAAATCTATGATACAAAGAGGGCTTGAATGTATTCCAGAATCTTCTGTTATGTTGTGCAATGTATAAGCCACATTCATGATATCATAGAATAGTAGAGTTGAAAGGGCCAAGAAGACCATTGAGTCCAATCTCTTGCTGTTGCAGGTCACCAGTTTACAACATCCCACTCAAAGGACTGACCAGTTTCTTTTTTAATGTCTCCACTGTGGGAGAGCCCACAACCTCTCAAGGCAGCTGGGTTCACTGTCATATTGCTCTGACAGTGAGGAAACCTTTCCTGATATCTAGCCTGAATCTGGGCTGTCTCTACTTGACTTGATTATTTTGTGTCCTACACTCTGGTATCAGTGAGAAGAGATCTTGACCTTCCTCTTTGTGATAACCTTTGAGGTACTTATAGAGTGGTATCATGCCCCCCCCTCCCCAGTCTTCTCTTCTCAAGGCTGAACATGCCTAGTTCTCTCAGTCTGTCCTCACAGGGCAGTGTTTCCAAACCCTGGATCATGTTTGTTGCCTTCCTCTGGACCCTTTCTGATTTTCCTTTGTCTTCCTTAAATCTTGGTGCCCAGGACTGGACACAGTATTTCAGATGAGGTCTGACTACTGAGAGGTATAGGGGAACTAGTACTTTCTATAATTTGGAAGTGATATTTCTACCAATGCATCCCAAAATAGCATTTGCCTTTTTTTGCAGCCATATCACATTGTTGGCTCATATTCAGCTTGTGCTCTACAACAGTTCCAAGATCCAACAATTGCACTATTGTTGAGTCATGTATTCCTCATCTTGCATTTGGTTTCTTTTTCTTAGGTGCAGAACTTGGAATTTGCCCCTATTGAATTTAATTCTTTTGTTTTCAGCCCAGTATATTCCAGCTTATCAACATCAGTTTGAATCTGCTCTCTGTCTTCCAACTATCCACCCAGTTTTGTGTCATCTGCATATCTGATAATCATTCCCTGAACTTCTTCACCCAAATTATTAATGAAAAAATATAGAGGAGCACTGGGCCCAGTACTGAACCCTGCAGTACCCCACTCGTGACCTCTTCGCAGTTTGAGAAGGTGCTATTGATGAGCATTCTTTGAGTCCAATTCTATAGCCAACTGTGCATCTACCTGATAGTTGTTTCACCCAGCCCACTTTTTGCTAGTTTGCTAATCAGGATATCATGGGGCATCTTGCTGAAGTCAAGATAGATTATGTATTCCCTCAGTCTACTGGGAGGTTACCCAGCCAAAAAATGAAATCAGATAAGACTGGCAGGATTTGTTCTTGAGAAATCCATGTTGGCTTCTAGTAAACACTGTATTGTTCTCAAAGTGTTTGCAAATTGACTGCTTTATAATCTGCTCCAGAATTTGCTCAGGGATTGATGTCAGAATGACTCAGTTGGACCTACATCTGAGTATAGAATTGCACAGTAAAGAAAGTTGCTGTCCTTATTTAGGGCTTTATGTATACTATTAATCATTCTTTCCCAGTTTGTCCAAGCAGGTCAAATCTGCTCCAACATATCTTGTGACTCTTGCTTTAATTTGTGCTCAGTGTATTGTTTGGCCTCTGGGCCTTGCTCTGTGAAAACTGCTCCAACCCCATTCTCTCTCCATCCATCATTTGCCCTATATAAACCTACCCACTGATGCTACCATTGCATACATCTGATGAAGAGAGTCCACATTAACTTCATGGCACTGGCCTGGCTTTCCTAGAACACTAAGCCACCATGGTTTAATCGACCCACAAGGCTTTACAGCAGACCTGGGCATTGTACGGCCCCCCGCGGGCCACATCCGGCCCGATGGCTGACCCTGACTGGCCCGCATGAGGTCACTGGCAAATTAAAACTCAATGTAAATATATATCATGATAATATAGATGCAAGCAATACAACTGCACTACTTTTATTTTGAAGGATCTGCTAAATTGAATTGAATTTATTGCTTTTCATGTAATGTTAATGTTAATGATTTTGTGAATATTCATTAAATAGTGTTGTTCTGTGCTCCACATTTTCATTGTATTATTGTAATGTTTCATTTACTGTTTTTATAGAGATATATATTGAGCAGAGTTGTAAGTGTATTGGTCCGGCCCTTAACTGTCAAAGTTTCTCATGTGGCCCCATAGGAAAATTAATTGCCCACCCCTGCTTTACAGTGAGCTCTGGCCAGCATTTTAAACAAGCAAGTAGAGGTGGGTGGGTGTTGTGGCTTGTTGTGTCATGTGCGTCCAGACAGCATAGGCTACATGAGGGTTAAACAACATGCTGTGAAGCCACATGGTTCAATTAACCCACGGTGGTTTAGTGTTATATGCAAACTGTCCCAATCTCACTTTAAGTCAATGTTTCTCAAATACTTTGAAATGAAACCCACCTGTAAACTTACTGATCATGTTGAGGTGCTCTTTAAATTAATTCCAGCTTGGAAGCTCTCCATTTCCCCTCTATAATTGAAAGCACAGTATTCCATAAGATTAGATTTTCTTATTGTTAATGTGTATACAAGTATAGATTTATGTAGAGGAGCTTTTCCCAACCTGGTGCCCACTAGAGGTTTTGGGCTTCACTTTCTAGCTAGTCTGGTCAGTGGCTGGGCATGCTGGAATTATCCAAAATATCAGGAAGGCTGTTATGGGCAATACATTTTTGGACAAAAATTAAACATGAATAGAAGAAGCAATAGAAGTACTATAGAAGCAAACAAGTGAGCCTTTCTAAAAGGGGGTGCACAACAGTAATGATGAAGTGTTGATGTGGAAGTGGGGTGGAGGATAGGCCACTGAAAACAGAACTGT